ATAATAAAAGTTCAAATTTTTTCTAGTTTTTGTGAAATTTTTTTTTTATTTTTTTCAGATTACTATCATCATATTCCAAGTGCAGCTAGCTATACAGCTAAGCGAAGACTAGAACTAAGAAGTTCTAAGTCACAAGGTTTGTGGTTTGCGTAATTTAACAACTCTGTTTATCATTGCTCCACCACAATACTAAAATTTGTACAAATCAACAAAATTATAACAATTAAACATCTCTCTTTTCCCTTTTTTGATACTTGATATATGTGTTTCTATTAAAATGGGATTAATTTGAGCCGTAAACTTTCTCGAATTATGACAGCGTTCGAAATGAAGACAACATGTTTTAAGAGTTGAGACAAACGTTCGTTGAGTGTTGAGAAAAGCAAGTTTCAAGAATGATTGGAAATTATTCGCGTACATGCTCACAATGGATAGGGAATTGAGAAAATCATAACAAATTTTTGAGCCCGTGAATACGTATCCGTACGGCCTTGACATTTGTCAGGATCATCTTCATGTTCAATTCGAAAATAGTTTCAATCTACTAATACATTCACAATTTAATAAGTCAGGGCTTTTTACAAAATTTATCTCATGTTTCGTAGATCGCATGAGGTAGGTGTCTTTGGTCTGGTTGGCTAAGTGGCGTCCATAGTTTGCCTTTGGCCTTTACTAAGGAATTCTCTATGCTTAAGGAGGAATATGTAAATATGATTATTAGTTAGAAAGAGTTGCCAAGTCATATGAAACTACAATTCGAAATGAATCCAATATGCGATAAGTATAAGTGTGACCAGTGAAAAGATCTTTGCTTATATCATACTATGCTGTTGATGTTGAATATAAATAAATTCGGAACCTAAAAGTTCTGGTTCCTTTAAAGATAAAATTGCGCTTTATAACTTGTAGAAAAATATCATTTGTATACTTCTACTACGAACTAAAATATTATATGTTAATCCATTTGAAAATTGTCTAAATTTATTACATGCTCGTCGCATTGTTTTGGGCCCTGCTCTTTGTACGCTCCGGAAACAATATAATGGCTACATATTTTTAATCAGTACAACTTGTGAAGCGAGTGAAATACAATTGTTCGTTCGTTATTTTCTTAAAATTCCCATAACAACTATGATCGATCACTTATGGTTCAGTATTACAAATCAATTTAAGCCCGAACAAGTAAGAAAATTGTATTCGCCTTAAGACCCTTCTCTTTCTTTCTTTTATATCCATCATCTTTATGTTTAAAAAAATATATATAAACCCGAAAAAATTAAATTCTGTTAGTTTATACTTGTTGGTTGGGCGTGATCGATTTTCTGTGATTTTGTACGGCCAGTGAATTGACTGACTGTCGATATGGGAGTCAAGTTGTCCGAAAATAGGATTGCTCTTGATACGAAGATGCACTACCCATCTGACTATCGAGATGAATGCCTTCTTACCTGAATGCTAGATACGACCATTCGGGGAGTATCGTGGTGACTTTGATTACCCCGAAGATTCGTGGCGAACTATTCAAGAGGTGTTTTGATACATCTTGACGCATACCAATAAGCGACAAGTAATAGTAGGGCCTCCTTGAATGGAGATTGTCCTACTGCTTGGGTATGTCGGTTATCGGTTCGTGCACCAACGGATGCCGTGTGGTTAGACCTTCAAGTTAGGAACCCACGTAAGACTATATAAGGAAGCTGTTATTATTTAGACATAAAGAGTAAAAAACTTAAATCTTTTTCTAGAGAAGAGTTCAAACGGAGAGAGCATGCACTATTCTCATTTGCTTCCTGTAACCTTATGTCAGTTATAGTGCAGATTTCGTGTCGTGAAATAAAACAAAAAAAAATATTTACGCATCATTGAACTAACAATAAGAAAATTGGGTCAGTTTTCTCTTTTCAAACTTTTTCTGATTTCGATCATCTTTATATATGTATCAATAAATATTCATAAGCATAAACCTTTTCGCTCATTTAATTATTTGCTGTTGTTTTGATTGCGGCTTTTGTTTTTTCGTTTGTATACGATTATATGTTACATAAGTATATGCGATGTAAGTATACTTGTAATTCGGTCATTATGTAGATTGCAAAACATGATATACATTATCAAGTGAGGACCTTAGATATCTTAGGTATCTCACTTTGTATCGTATCTTTAAAGACAATTAAATACATTCGATGTATCTATCTTATATATCGTATCGTTATATCGTATATTATACATATTTTAAATCATAGTTTTAGACTATGTGACATTTCTACACAGTGTTTCTTATTACAAGAAGAAGAAAATTTTCAGCTATCATCATTATATGTGCGAAACACATTGACATCGGAGATCGCCACTTTTCCCAATTGAAAATGTAACTTGGCGATGTAGAAACTGTACCAAAACGCAAACGCTCACCGCTGGAAATACAAATGATCGCACACGGCAGGTTCGTGAAAGTTAATGCACGTTTGTACGGTGTTGTATGTTATGGGGAGAGAGTAGGGTGTGGTCGATTTCAGTGATTCGGGGCAAAATGAAGCAACACGACCACCTTAACGTTTTGTGATGTTATTCTAAGAAAACTTGTTACGCTTACGTGCTAGAGAGGCTTTTCACGACTGCCAGGGTTTCAGATGTTATTCAGCAATAAAGAGCACGTTGCGCAGTCCCCTTGGGATTTTGGCTAAATGCTGAGGTTATGCTTTTTTTACCCTCATACAAAGCGATGATGACACAAAATTACTTGATCAAATACTCTCGTGCGGTACATCGTATCGTATATTGCATTACATTGCATTGTCATGTGTAATTCTAACAGAGTATAAAGGAAGGCAAATAGGAGTTCAAGTTTCCACTCTCTCAACCCTATGTAATTATTTCCAAGGTAGAAGCATGCTTGAATTCCCATTAGTCGAAAAGCGGATGAATTTCTCGGGAAATCTGAAATAGCACTTACATATTTTTCTAAGCGTAATCTATTAATGGTAATTAAAAGAAAACCGAAATAGAAATTTTACTTTAATTTCAATATATATTGATCCATTACTATAAATCGAGATGAAAGCGATTTTTCCCAGTGGGAAACAAAATATATCTAATAAGATTTCCTGTAGTAGACATACTCGCATGCCGTACAGAGAGCATATATCACGCATACTTTTCACTAATAATAATAATAAGAGAGAGAGAGAGAGAGAGAGAGAGAGAGAGAGAGAGAAAGGAGAAAGAGAGACAGAGACTGAGTGAGGGAGGGAGAGAGAAAGAGAGAGAGCGCGAGAAAGAGAAAGGGAGAGAGAGACTGAGTGAGGGAGGGAGAGAGAAAGAGG